TGAGAAAAAAAAAATAAATAAAGTACATCTGTTATGTATTGTATGTTTATAAAGTACGATGACTAAAAATTTTTTTTTTGTCACTTGTATTCGACTACGTTTTGTTTAAAAATGTACAATAGTACGAGAATCTACAAGTACCTATACTTAATATATGATACTCGATTCATAACGTAACAAAGTTTCATCGTTTTGTTCAACGCGAACCAGTTGAAAACTACAAAAGTACGTTAACGTTGTATTTCTTCTGATTTGTCTATAATTACTGTAAAATTCTGTAACTTTGAAATGCACAGCTTGAAAACTCGTGCTCACTTAGAAATTAAAAAAAATGTACTCGTTAAATCATCAGCGAAAGGAAGGATGATCTACAATTTGCCTTCAAGTTCTGGACATACCGAAATTCGTGTCGCATCAGCACGATATTTCCACGTGTACGTGGCCTATTTTTTTTTTTCTTCCCTTTCTCGTCAAGTAATTCCTTGTTACTTATTAATATATTAATCGTATTTATTTATCTATGAGTTTAGTGCATCATCCCGCGGAAAAGAGATACCCGTCCCGTTCGCACACGACTGACTCGTATTTTCTTTTTCATCCGTCTACTTATTTACTTATTTATTCCTACATCCGAATAACTTCGTTTTTCGACTATTAAATCCTTTGTTTAATTTTTTTTTCTTTCATTATTCATCTCGTTTAGCTCGTCGATGGCCTGTCTTGCGGTTACTTCACGTGTCCCAATACACTTGTCACAAGCATCACATCATATCATCAGATTACAAATATACAAACACAAAAAAAAACACAATTCAACAACACGTTACAGTCAGTTTTGTTGTTTTGTTTAATATAGAATGGTAGTGATGGAGGGATTGTATTAATTGTATCAACAAACACACGCACACGCACATACTCACACGCCACAAACCAAAATCCAGTACTTACATTTTAAGAACAGTGACAAAAGAGGATACCGATGGCGTATTTGCAATCGTCAGTGAACATACTTATATGGCGCCGTTGTATTCTCTACACTTGGTATCTAGTTCGTGTGTTTTTCGTTTCTTTTTCTTTGAACGAGGATTCATTCAACTAAACGCTTCGTCATCATCATCATCATCAACCAAACGGTTGTTTAGTTTGTTTAGTAAATATTTTGTTTGTTTAATAAAATCAGAACAAAAGCTCATAGATGTACATATATTCATTTTTCTTTCTCATGTAAATAATTATTATTATCACATTTAACAAACACAATGACAGTTCTCTTATAAAGTATGTGCATATGATGTATATGGTACTCGTGTCTGCGGTTATACTTGAACCTATCATCCAACTTAATCAAGTCGTCTGAATTGCAGACTTTTCAATGTCAATTACATATAAAATTTACAGTTTAGTTGATTGAATCTGACTTTACTTTTGGTACTCTTTCCTCGTTATTCTTACGTTAAAAGTGTATCACTTCTCGTACTCAGTCGACTCTCTCATTGAAAGCATCTCGGTAAATTCGCTGTTCGAGACTCGCATAAAAAAAAAAAAAAAAGAAAAGAAAAAAGTCGCCTTATTCGCAAATAATGGTATTGTAGTGAGGAAAGTGAGAAAAAAAAAATAAATAAAGTACATCACAGTTACAATGATTTGTTTGTAACCAAGACAAGTTTATGTAATCAAGACCTCCTTCCGTTCTAGTATGAGGCTTGGATGGAAAAAAATATGCAGGATTTTAATAAAGTGCTTTGTAAGTGTGAAAAAAAGCAAGCACCAGCGTCTGATTTTATGCTGAATTTCGATTACGTTACTTTTTTTTATTATTATTTACATTGTCCATAGTTTGCATTAATCACACAGAATCAATGTTAATTTTTTTTCATGGAAAAATTTATTAACATAATGTAATAAGCGTGATACTGTGAATTGCCCTTATAAAATTATAAAAGTACAATATAAATAAGGATAAAAAAAATCTAATGCAAGAAGCATCAGAGGAATTAGATATTTCACAAGTGGTTGGTGCACAGGATTTTATGTGGACACATACAGTTGTTTGTTGCAAAAAAAAAAAAAAAAAAAAAAAAAAAAAAAAAAATTAGAGGAAAGGTGCATGCTAATACACACGCCGCAATCAGGTCTTAAATACAGCGCAGTAAGTTTCTTAGCTATCCCACACATAATTTCCACAAAATATCGAGCCATTATACATCATATTAATATTTCTAAGCCAAAGAACTCAACATTCAGTGATATGAAAACATACAGCGGAATAGGGTTTATAATTTACAAAAAGCGGAGTTACAGCTAATGTGCAGGTATTTGCGAGAGTGTAGTTTTTGTTTTCACTGTTACTTTTTTTCGATAATTTAATAAATATCAAACAAAGAACACCGATAATTACTTAGATAGGTACAATTACAAAGACACATAAAGTATATGAAAACTGCGATTGTTCATCTTTCAAAGAGACTGCATTCGAGGGTGAGTGGATTTTGTATAAGTAGCTGTATTACGTGAAGGTTGACTATTTCACTCGTTTATAAATATTTTTTATTAAATTTTCGAATTTTTGCTTTGATTTGATCCGTGAGTTGCGCCTCATCATTTTTTTCCCGTTCATTATATAATTACTAATCAACCTCGAACGACTATAATAACGAAATTCTGTTGTTCTAACGATCAATAACTCTAAGCAGTTGATTCTATTTGACCAACAAAAATTCGTCATTATACTTTTGATTCATTTTACTAGAGATTTTATCATCAAATCGACAAACTAATGACGAGATCAATGCAAATTCTTTTTCTACGCGACGAGCGATAAACAGATTTTTTTTTTCTTTTAAGCTTAAATTTACAGCAGTATATTAACCCTACGTTATTATGTACAATTGATTATTACTTAAAAAGAATCTAATCATTTGTTTTCTTCAAACTCGTATAAGATGAATTATATAAATTAATTATTTCTATCGAACCGTTTCTGCGAATAAATTCTAAAGCATTCAACTGCACGATATTTTAAAGTTAATTATGTATTGCAATTACATGTGTGTACCCTTTACGGTACGTTGCTATTATGCAATCGGGTGCAAATTGCATACTTTAATTTTTTTTAAAGATCGCGTGTATGTCTGAAAAACGACCATCACCGCACGCTCCTATTCTATCATCGATGACGAGATCAAACGGTAGTCTCTAAAATACAAATCAAATTTGGAAAATTGCAATTTTATGAAAAACTACGTACGATCACACCGAGTCGATCGATCGACGAATAAGATCGAAGATTCATATGTGCAAAGCCCACACGTATGCAATAGAATTAGCGTTTTAAAAGTAAGACAGAGCAAAGCTTGCGGTATTAAAAACAAAGATAGCGTTAATCGAGTGAAGGGAAGGAAAAAATTTGGCGTTCGGAGAAAAAAAAAAACAAGATTATTGCCTCGCAAAAAGAATGTCAACATCAAAAAGGCACTTGTACGAAACAATGTGATCGTAAGTTCGCGTTCCTTTACGCCAGAAAATAAAAAAAAAATCTAAGAAAAGAGAAAAAAAACATCATAAGCAGGTCACTGTAATTGTCATGATACAGTGATAATTCCCTTCTACGTTTTGTATGAAGTACAGTGCGGTGCAGAATACGGTTGACTATAAAACAAAAAATCAACATCTTTTTTTTTTTGCATTTTCTGCTTTCTCTAGTTGCCCGACTAACACCATGCGCAACAATCAAAGTAATTAAAATCTCACTTGGACACACTTTTTGTTTGTTTCGTTAATTTATGTCACAAGTTTTCCCTCGTGGAGGAAAAGTTATGCTTAATTATTAATTTTTGCTCTTTTTCGTTTTTAGTTAAATGCAATTGCAAGTCCAAGGCGGTGAGCTTGGCTTCCGTGTAAGAAAGGCATCTTTCGTTTTTTTTGTATTTGTTTGTTTTTGTTTTTTTTGTTTTTTTTTTTTTTTTTTTTTGCTAAACATTACACCAAAAAATGGATTATTTATAGGGGGCCGTAAATTATCAGTCCGAAAAACACAGCCCACATTAGAACAATCCAGTGTACGGTGTAAATTGGGTTCTCACCGTCTGTGATCTTTCTGGCAATGAACTTCAAGGTTTCGTCGAGAAGTACTACAGGAATCGAGAACTTCATAACTGTAACCCATTCTTCCCCGGTCAAGGGAGTCACTTGGAATACAGTCTGAAAAATAAAGTTTATGGATATATTATTGTAATGATGTCGTTACATAACATTGTACATTTTCTCCTAACTGTAAAATGTTGAAAGACTGCGTAGACTTGTAAATTTTTCAAGTTTTTAAGTACTAAGTACAAAAGCTTTACAAACTCAGCCATTTAACACGCAGTTCACATGCAAAGCTTTTTTTTTTTACTTACCGAAAGAACATCGACGTGAAGAATGACGAAGTGGAGTGTGAAAGAAAGTGCCATCGAGGCAATGAGCCACAAGTTCGACCATGGCGGCATGCTGATCAGAGATTGATTCTCAGATAAACTAAAGGGAAAGATTTGAAAAATTCGGCATTAAAAAAAGTAAGCAAAGGTGCAGTGATCTTTTGACGTGGTGAGTAAAAAAAAAAAAAAAACCTGTTCATCGCGTTCAACATCTCAATAGTGACAAGTACAGAGAGAGCCATAGTCATGGGATGAGGATCACTGAAGATCTTGCAGTCAAGACCCTTGAATTCTTCGCCACCACCGATACATGACAAGTGGTGAGTCTGAAAAATCACGCATTAAAAAGTAAGTAAAATTTCGTTTTACGTTTTCGTGGAAAATAAATCATATGTGTACCAGCTGATAATAATTCATCTGTGGTCCGTGTGGGCTGTACAAGAACCACCAGGCAGCCGATCCAACAGTAGCAGCGCCGACGTATCCACCAATAGCCAAGTAACGGAAGAAGAGCCATCCAGAAATAAGAGATTCGTCTGCCTTACGGGGAGGCTGAAACGTAAGAGTCGCAATGGGTTATTCACTGTAAAGAATAAATATTCATTTCTTAATTCTAATGCACACGCACCACATAAATTAAGTCGTGTTACCTGTGGGTTCACTTGACTTTTGATCACTTTTGCTTGAAGGACTTTATGTTCAACAAAGCATATATATCTAAGTGGTTTGAAAAGCTAACAAATAATCCAAAGAAACTCACCTTCTGCATGATGTCCAAGTCGGGAGGATTGAAACCAAGAGCCGTAGCGGGAAGACCGTCCGTGACAAGATTAACCCACAAGAGCTGGACAGGAATCAAGGCTTCCGGAAGACCAAGGGCAGCAGTCAAGAATATACTGAGGATGACACGATTGTTGTGAATTTTGACTTTGATAAAATAAGGAAAAAAAGTAATTTCCTTACCTCACAACTTCACCAATGTTGGAAGAAATGAGGTAACGGATGAATTGTTTCATGTTGTTGTAAATGGCGCGACCCTCCTCGACGGCAGATACGATGGATGAGAAGTTGTCGTCAGCCAAGACCATCTCAGCCGCAGATTTAGCCACGGCGGTACCAGATCCCATGGCAATACCGATTTCGGCCTTCTTCAATGCTGGCGCGTCGTTAACACCGTCGCCAGTCTGATCAACGTAGGGAAACAATTGTGTCATGAAAACTTTTCAACGAATGGAAAAAAATAAAGATTAAAAAAAAAAAAAATCTTACCATGGCAGAGATCTCGTTCATGCTCTGCAGGTACTCAACGATCTTGGACTTGTGCGCTGGTTCTACACGGGAGAAGAGCCTGGCTCTCGCGCAAGCGGCTCTCTGCTCGGGGATGGACAGGTCGTCGAATTCGCGACCAGAGTAGGACTTGTTGGTCGTGTCCTCGTCCTCGCCGAAGACACCGATTCGCCTGCAGATAGCCTCGGCGGTAGATTTGTTGTCACCCGTGATGACGATGACGCGGATGCCAGCGGCACGGCACCTGACAATCGAATCGAAGACCTCTTTACGAGGTGGGTCCAACATACCGACGACACCGACGAAGGTGAGGTCCTTCTCGTAGGTGTAGAATTTGGTCGAGTCTCCAAGATCCATGTCATCGGGCTTCATGGGATGATCGGCCGTGGCCAGGGCCAAGCAACGGAGGGTATCGCGGCCGGTACCGTATTGACGGGTGAGATCAAGGATGCGATTCTTGAGGGTAGAGGTCAGAGGGAACTTTTGCGAGCCAACGCGGGCGTGTGTGCACCTGTCGAGCACACCCTCGGGCGCGCCCTTGACGTACAATTTAGGTCCGGTGCCGAGTTTCGTGGGCTTGAGCGGGACGCAGTACGAGGACATGGATTTACGATCGCGCGAGAACTCGAGCGTGAACTCCTTCTTCCATTTGGTCTCTATGTCCTGTCGGACGACGATAGCTGTGCCACGACGGTCGAGGCCGGACTTGTTGACGCCGTACGGGTTGATTTTCTCAGCGAGGACGATGAGGGCGGTCTCGGTGGCTTCACCCACCTTCTCGAAGGCCTGCTTGAACTCGTTGAAGTCGATGGCCGAGTCGTTGCACATGATGCAGATGGTGCCGAGCTCGTGGAGAGTCTCGTAATCGGTACCACGGATCTTCTGGCCCTTCAGAAACACCTCACCGATGGGCTCGTACGTCGAACCGGTAATTTCGAATTCGTGGAACGCGCTGTCATTGCCGTCGATCCTCTCGAACACGAACATTCTGGGAGCAAAGAAAAATTCGATCAATTAACAAACATCCAATGCAAGATTAATCGGCAATACTACGAAGACGTCGACTTACCGGCTGACGGACATCTGGTTGGTGGTGAGGGTGCCAGTCTTGTCGGAGCAAATGACGGAGGTGCAGCCGAGAGTCTCGACGGACGGGAGCGACCTGACGATGGCGTTCTTCTTGGCCATGCGTCTCGTGCCAAGGGCCAAACAGGTGGTGATGACGGCGGGCAGACCCTCGGGAATGGCAGCGACGGCGAGCGCAACGGCGATTTTGAAGTAGTAGATGGCGCCCTTGATCCAGGAACCACCGTGGGCGGGATCGTTGAAGTGGCCGATGTTGATGGCCCAGACGGCGACGCAGATGACCGAGATGACTTTGGAGAGCTGTTCACCGAACTCGTCGAGTTTCTGCTGGAGCGGCGTCTTGATCTCCTCGGTCTCGGACATCTCGGTACGGATCTTGCCGATCGCGGTGTTGAGGCCGGTGCCGATGACGACACCGCGCGCCTTGCCCGCTGCCACGTTCGTCCCTGAGAAGAGGATGTTCTTCTTGTCCTGGTTGACGGCGCGCGGATCTGGCACGGGATCCGTGTGCTTGATCACCGAGACCGATTCGCCGGTGAGGATCGACTGGTCGATTCTCAGGGTGGTCGAGAAGATCTTGATGAGACGAATGTCGGCGGGTATCTTATCGCCGACGGAGATCTCGACCACATCGCCGGGCACGATTTCCTTGGCCCGGATCCGCTGGACGCCCGATTTGTCGCCTCGCACCACTTTGCCCATCTCGGGCTCGTACTCTTTGAGCGCCTCGATTGCCGACTCGGCATTGCGCTCCTGCCAGACACCGACCACGGCATTGGCGATCAGGATCAGCAGGATGACAAAGGGCTCGACGAACGCCGTGAACGCATCCTCGTGCTCCTCAAACAGGGCCAGTACCTACGGTAGAGACAAGGCGTACGATAAAGTTAGGGCTTTTTGTTTTGTTTTTCCTTCAACTGATGATTATTTTTTTACAACTATATGTTTTTTCTTTCTCACAAGCTCCTTTGTAATTGAGAAAAAAAAAATTCATTTGCACGCCCTACCATTGAAATTTACAGGTAAATATTATTAATTGAAAGAAAAATTGTACTCACAAAAGAAATGATAGCTGCTAGTAGAAGAATCTTAACTAAGAGGTCATCGAATTGTTCCAGTACGAGTTGCCAGATGGATTTTCCTGAAATAGAGAGATACAACGTCACGAAAATCAGTAATGATTCAAGATTTTTATTCATCACAAGCGTTGATATTTTTTTTATAATCAACAAAAAAAAATGTGTCGAGTGGAGGAAAAAAAAAAGGAGAAAAAAAAGGTGTTAGTATATATACGTGCATATTGTTATTCAGGCGTTTCTTTACATCTTTTCGATTTTCGAAACTTTGAAAAAAAAAAAAAAAAAAAAAACAATTCTTGAAACTAACAGACAACGGCGATTTCAACAGGTTTTTCCTCACACTCCTAACGGTTGAAAGTCACACGTAACATCTGTCAATCCTTTCGGCTAAGCAGCAATTGAACAAAAGCACTCAAAACACCGCCAACCGATCGATAATCATCTTCTTTGATCCTTCGTTGTTGGTGTGCATGCACACTTCGCCAAATAATCGATCGAATCAACGCACCCGAGCAGCGCGAATAAGTAATTGCTCGGCAATCAGAAGAAGAAACAAAAGAAGCTCTCGTATGTATATGGAGTCAATCGAGTGCAGGGTCCATTGGGAAGTTCTCGTGACCGAGAGAGCTTGGCATTGGAGGATATCGGAACTGCTACTCGGCAACGTATACGTGCATAATTCATGAACTGAAACTCGCTCCCGCAAGTATATTGCGCGCAAGCCGATATACGTTGGATAAATATATGGTTACCGGGTCACGAGAGGAGGAGCTTTCGGTTCAAAAGCCGCGCGAAGCTTATTTATAGACCAATCAAGTTTGCGGCTGTACCATATATGCGTGTAGGTGTTCCATAGAGAGAGGAGCTTTTATAAATACACAGGATCCGTCAGGCATCGATGATTAACTTTGTTGTTGTTTTTTTTCCATTTCACACTTATTGTCTCCTCGAGTATCGTGTACCTATGTACGACAGACAGAGTTGAGAAACAAATGGCCCGCGTGTCTAATCTCCTATGGTCTCCGACAATCGATACAACGAAAGAAAAACACAAAAGAGACGAAGGTGACTTGAATTTTCGTTCCCCCTCGTGTCTATCAAAGCTCGCGTTGCAACAAAAGGAAAGAGGAGGGGGGGGAGTAATCCAACGTGGAGGTTGTTCGCACCATCCCATACATGTTTGTGCATCGACGTGGAACAACGAACCCTGTATCCCACAGAAGACGAAACCGATGGTGAGCCGCGGTGATATCACAAATCATATTATGCGTTATATCCACCGCAGGGGATGTACATAATAGAGTTCGGCTCGCCCTCTTAACTCTCGCGCGTGCATTGCGGCACCGATGATGTTTGGTTGGCCCAGTTCGAGCTTTTTCGGAGGCGCGATATATGTATAAGCACCAGTGACGCCGCACACGCTCTCCTGTGTAACGTTTGCTCTTCATGTGCATACAAGAGAGAGAGGATTGCTGTGTGTGTGTGTGTATAAAAATATATACGTAAGGGTGCAAAGCTTCTATTATCGATTGGAGTTTGAACGACGCCTCGCTGCTGCCCCTTTTTTTGTCGCGAGGGAAATGCTTTTTTTTCCCCCACCCCGTGTTGGTTTTCAGAAAGTTCGTTCGGGTAAACGCGCGGAGGGACGAATAAACAATCGTCAACGGTGGATATTTTTTTTGTTCCTCCGAGCATGAGATCGCCGCGAGCTTGGAAAGAAAGAGCTCGAGTTTCCTTTTGCAATACTTGTAGCTCTTACGAAAAGCTGAGCCGTAACTGTACAGTAAACGAAAAAAAAGAAACGCACAAATTGTGCTCTCAAGCTCGTCAGCTTCAACTTTGACGTCTCTGACGAGCACTACGGGAGAAAAAAAAAAAAAAAAAAAAAACTAAATCACCGGAGCGAAGAGTGCACTGAAATAAAGCGTCGCCGACGAAGCCGTACGCGTCATGTTGTATAGTGAGAAAAGCGACACACTGTAAACCACTACTCAAGCGCACGATATATCGTTTTTTTTCCATTTGTCCGTTGTGTACCTATTGCGTTCACACGCGCGAATCATCACTTACATAGGCGCGGTGGCAACAAGGCCCAGCGAACGAGAGCTGTACCGGGTTATTTGGTCCGTCACGGAAAATCGGTGACACCGTGCAATTGGAGCTCGCATGATCGGTAAATTGAAACGAAGACTTGAGCTTTTCGGGGTAGCTTGAAAAATAATTTAAAAAACGGGGAAAAACGAGGGAGTTTTATCTGCAGCTTTTATAACATTACTATTGATTTACATGTACAATAGTCGCGAGCGATCGCGTAAAATCGGTGCGTATCGGAGATTATTCGATTCTTCGTTGTGGTCTTTTCTCGCGTTATTTATGCCCCTGACACGAACGTCACGAGTGAAAGAAAAAATTGATTAAAAAAAAAAAAAAAAAAAAAAACCAACGATACCGCGCTGCTGATCTACATTTGGACTGCACCCATATTTGCGTGTCAGCGTAAACGGAGAAAGAAGAAAAAAAAAAAAAAGATTTCAACGAGCAAAACAGCATCGCGCACGGACAACTTTTGCAAGAAAAACAAGACCAACGAAATGGAAAAGAAAAAACCAACGGCCGTTGTAAAAATGTTTTTCTTCCCTCGTTTTTCTTCGTTGCATATCCGCAATACCTATCCTCATCGATCCAAACTTTTATTTGTTATTATTATTATTTCTTTTTTTTGAACAAACTGTATGAGGTGCAGTGTACCCATACACCACCGGACACGGTGCGACCGCTATAATTGCATTATTTGGATACACGTTATGCACATATATATACATACATACACATCATCGTTGAAGGGGAGTGTTGTTGAGGCGCGACAGAAAAAGCTTTGCATATTGTATGTAGGTACTCACCCTCCTCGGCTGGCAGTTCTGTAACAGAAAGAAAAAAACGAGCCGTTAGTTACATATTTTGGTCGGTGATACACGCATATAACAATATAATGGGAGATGAAGGGGATTACTATAGGCATAATTGGTTTATCACTGATTATTGAGGATCAGCTATTTTTTTTTTTCCACATTTCGCAATTGTATCATTTGTTGCGAGGCGAAAGGTAGGGTTTTTATTTGCAATTACTCCTTGGATCCACGCAATTCAAACTTGCGACATAAATGCTATGGATTTCGAATTCATTTGCTAAAGGTATTGCGACGTAATTGCCTGTACTCCTCTGTTGCGACACACGCGGCAAATGTCTCAAAGTTATACGGACTGAGCAGTGAGAGTACAGGTACCGAGTCACTTCTAAGTTTTGTCCAACATAATTGGACTTGGGGAACACTTATTTTATTTCAATTTTTCTCTAAACACTCTGTGAGAAAATTATTTTTCCTAAATAAGTGAATTTTTTTTTGTTGTTTTTTTTTTTTTTTTTTTGTAAAAAATTTTTTTATTCATGACTATTCGCCATGCAATATTGAGTGAAAAGTTTTTTTCTGACAGGTAAGTTAACGCAATACATTCCATTATGTATTACAGTTTATTATTAAGTATCTGAAATAAAGAATCTAACTGCTTTAACAAGCACTTTGACTTTTTATTTTTCAAGTATTATTTTTTATGGAAAAATTTTTTACCAAAGATTTTTATTAAATTGATGCTGATTTCGTGCATGCGAATGACAGTGGCTTATGTAGAATCATGATAGTTCTCGTTCGTAAAGTCAAATCGTACAGGTGTATTCGCTCCGAGCCGATACAGAGGTTGCGCCCCCTCTAGCCAAAATCAGGCAACATTTCTTGCATGTAAACAAACAGTTTAGAACATATATACATACGTATAGCTGCTTGTGATTGGCTGAATAAGACAGCAGGAGAGGATCGTCGTTCTCTCTCTAGCTTGCCAAGTGCCAATCACAAGCAGCTGTACGCATGTATAATATATGTTCTAAACCGTTTGTTTACGTGCAAGAAATGTTGCCTGATTTTGGCTAGAGGGGGCGCAACCTCTGCATCGGCTCGGAGCGAATACGCACGTATTATAACGAGACGATAATGGAAAAGAGAAACGCCTGGTCTGGTCGATTAAAAGTTATTGTAACTACATAAAATGAGGCCACGAGGAACAAAAATTAGCGTTTATTTTTACATCAAGTAACACAAGGTACACGAATATAAATATGACCTTTGGATGCTATATTTTGCTACTACATTGGTGGTTATAGATGCAGTATAGTGTAACATCATTTTTTACTTTGATCTTTATTTCTCTCGCATGCGTGTGCGTAATAATCCAATACACCGTCACGGCTCTATACTGCTATACTTTTACAGATGTAAAACAGTGAGATAAGAAGTGATCATCAATCAAAGTAAAAAAAAGGTCTTTGAATGCATCAAACGTACACTATTATTTTTAAGTTTCGGGCAATTTTTTATTTTCTTTTTATAGATAAGTTCGAATGAACGTGCATCAGCTTCTAAATATGTACGTGTATCGATGAAATTTGTCGCAGAGTTGGTTGGTACTTATGATGTTGGAAGTAATTGGTAAAAATTGAAAAAACAAAACAAAATAAACTTCTCGAAAACTGATTTTACACTGAATTTATGATTAGACGATTGAAAAGCGTTGGTTGGTATAGGTAAATGTATATACGTACATGGAGGAAAAATAATGACAAAACGAAGCAACGAAAACAAAAGTAAAACATAAATAAAAAACGAGCAGAAATTTATCCCATTGCCATTTTATTGGCTGCTGAACGCGTAATATCAGCTTATCGGTAAGTATCAAATATTATATACTACTTGGCGATCTATTTGTCATTTGCAGGATATCGCTATATACATAACTGTACTGCTGTACTGCCTTTACGTGATGTGCACACACAACACACACACACGCGCGCGAGCGGAATCGTATTTCTGTCACAAGTTGTATATCTACATAACATACAGAAGCTGCACATCATATAGGTATATACCCCTCGTCCAATCTAGTTCTCTCTCTTTCTCTCTCTCTCTTTCTATTACCGGACAAATTGCTGATTTGACGCTCACCTCGGGCCTGACAGTTAAACGTATGCAGGACGAGTGCGACAATTATCAACCCTGATGGATTGGCATCGACGATCGAGGGGACATAACGTGTAATACCCCTTTTCGTTCTGCCAACTCGTTAACTTCCAAATCAAGGTATGTACGTATGTAGTAATTCTTTTTCACACATTACAAGTCACGTGGTTGAGAAAAAATTTTTTGTTGTTCAATTTGTATACAGTTTTTCCATAAGGATAAAAGCTAATCTTCCCATTTACAAAGACGTACACTGCACATGATTTATATATGTCGCGGGGCAAAATAAGTATACGCAGCAGATTACCGCACACGTTTTATTGTTGAATAACACACGTGATTTATGTGTCTTTGTATTAATTTTGAAATAAAACTCAAGTAGGTCCTATGTATACATATGTACAAGAGTTGAGAAATGAAAGTCGATACCAAATTGTTAACTGGTAGGTCATATATATATAATCTCCGTCAGCACAACAGTTAGAACGACCGAGAGTAGTAGCGCACATGCACCTATAATATTTAATACATATATATATATATATATACTGTCGCATTGGCAGTTGCAACGAAACTAATGCGGCACTTTGTAAACGGTAGGTACCTACAAGCTTTTTTTTTTCATTCATTTCTGTTTTAAATGCCAATTGTATACTTAATAAGTAGGTATTAGAATGTCACAACGACGCGACAGGACCATAACTGTGAGTGTCCCAAAATAGTGATTACCTTCTTCCGACGTTCGCGTGATCATCCATAAACGACCGAATAAGATTATTCGTGTCAAAAAGTTTTACCTATATATTATGTAGGTATACAAAACCAAACGGTTCTCAAGAAATCTTTTATAGCTGCCAAAATCGTGAAAGTTGAACAGAAGAAGAGTACCCTAAGTATTTTTCCTTGTTTGCGCACCGTAATAATTATACTCATGCATCGGCGAATGAAACTAAATAATAAATTCGTACAAGAAAATTGGAAAAAATGCTTTTTTTTTTTTTTTTTTTTTTTTTAAATCAAGTATACGTTTACGGTGTACACCACTGTTCGCGTATCAGAGAACAGTGAGGGGTTTGTTGTATATGCGTGCGGTGCATCGATCCGTTGTATAGTTGTATTATATATTATATGTACACGAGGTACAGCGACGAGAGAGGTGGTCTTAATGCACTTATAAACACACGGCCAGAGTCTATTATGGTGTTGAACGCATAGGTACGTCATAATGTTTGCATGTACACGGTGTACAGCGTATAATTTTATCGCTGCTGTATACGTGGCGATGTGAGCAAGAGAAAAATTACGCGTTTTTTTTTTTTTTTTTTTTTCATAAGTGCACATTTCAACTTACTTTTCTTTCATCAAGCGAGTGCTTACGTTAAATTTATCAAACAGAGAGCAACGAGCACACACTTGACGCGTCGATGGGCTGATGGACGATATTTTTTTTTTTTTCTTTCTTTTCTATTACTTTCATCTACGCTTTTCGCGTACACCCATATTCATACAATTGATTCGTTTCCGGCGACTCTAAGCAATTATTATAATGCATTGATGGTACCATACCATGAAAACTCCCATTAACGTACAAACGTAATTTATAGCGACTCTATGACGTGGAATATACGGACGTCTCATTGTTAGCACACCCAACAAATCGATAAAAATGATCTTGCGTCTTACGGTTTTATAAAATTTGTCCGATTTACCTATACAGTTTACCAATAAAAAAAACCATACACGTTAAAATTTTTTATTCCATGTATACAGTTGAGCCTCAAATTGGCTGTACTGCTTTGTATATGACATGCGCGTGCAACGACATCGGGTTCTTTGGATTATTATAAAAATATATGCAGTGCACGTTGTCTAAAATACAACAGAATTTTACAAAGATATGCAGCATGCAGTTAAATACATCTATGTATTGTGTAAAATAGTATGCACGTGAGTCTATGGGTGAGCCTCTCTTTTTTTTCTGTCACGTGCACGTGTATCTTTAGGGAGAGAGACACCGTACATGTACATGAATGTACGTGTAACAGACGATACATCCACTCCTCTATTATTCTATCTTTGTATTCTTTGTCCCTATTTACGGTTCAAAGGTAAAAAACTACCAGCGCATCGTGTGTGTGTGTGTGTGTGTGTACAAACAATGTAGATATAGAGAGAGCTACAATACAAAGCGAGAGAGTTAATAACATGCAGCTATCTTTTTTTTTTTTTTCCTGAAGGAAAACAACGCACGTGGGAAAAGCGATGGCACGCTACGCCGAGCTGCTGCAAGGCCGCGATACACCACAACGACGTCAGGGAAAGCCAATGACGGAAAATGCAATACTAGGTAAATGTGGTCCTTTGCTCGATCGTCGTTGTGTTTTTTCGTTTCATTGCCGTCACACATTGTGCATATATTATATAGTTACTGTTTGAGACAATTATCACAAGTATTGTAATATTTTCAATTACGTGTTTTTTACTAGCCTGTTTAAGTAGATACGGTGCTATATTTATACGTTTTAGATGTTAGAGATTTAAGTGCATATGTATGTGAATTTAATATACGTAAATATAAATTTATGAAAGTAAAAAAAAAAAACTGGTTCACGCGTGGACGTAGATGTTTTCAACAAAAATTTCATTCGCTTATCGATTTCAGTTAACCAGCTTTTTGGCGACGAGGCTTCTTTCCAACAATTTTCACCATGTGCAGCATATAGGAAGTAGATACATACTTATCAAAACCAAGATACAAATTTACGTTCGAGACCAGCCTCCAACAGTTTTGAAGTCGACGAGCAAGTGATAAAAAAAAATCTTAGAACCCATGGGTTGTTTTTTTTGTAAAAATAAAATTGTTACTTGGGTAAATAAAATAAACTCAAGTTCTCAAATTGTTTGAAAAAAAGTTTCACCCGGCCTGAGGAACTGATGGAGCAGGACAGAGCTCATTAGAGCCGAAGGAAAGATCAACAGAAGCCGAGGGAAAACTCAAGCATCAAAGCGAATGGAGGAAGCGTCGGAGAAAAAGAAGAACCATCGACGGAGGAATACGTAAAAACAAGTCCATACGGATGAAACTACGCGTGGGGGCCGATGCGTGTATTACTTATACACGCATGTGACGATTGAACAAATTACGCGTAACACGTTGCGATGGAAAAGAAATTGTTGTGAACAAGCTGTATACATATATAGACGCGCATTAAATATCGGTACACATGTGTGTGTTTGAAGCCGAAAGCGCGTGTACACAGCGAGTCTTTGGAAGAGAAACAAGAAAAAATTTGCGCAATCGAGAGTATACAGCAGTGACGCGTGTTGTGCACTTGGCGATTAACGTCATCGCTGGTAGAACATCGGCTGCGCATAAGCATGCACGCGGTTATACGGATCTAAAGTGAGCTGTACGCGTCATGTGCGTTCGTAAAGTTGATGCAATGAAGAAGAAAAAAAAAATTACTGATGATTTTAATTGTGAAACTTTCACTACCAACAACTTGATGAAACGTTCTAAAATATATGAATTTTTGTCATTCGAAATAATCAAGAAGACCTTGTTTTTTATACTTGCATCGAATATGGATCGAATCTTAATTTGAATTTTAGTTCAATGGGTCATTCAGAAGACAAATTAGCAAAATTCTACAAGAAAATTATTTTTCAAGTATTCAAACTTCCGTCATAGTAAAAAAAAAAAATTAACTGTCACAATTATATAGGATGAAAATGTAATCAAGGTACATCATATTAGCTTCTATTAATAATAATAATAATAAAAAAAAAAAAAAGTTAATGATTCAAGACACAAATGAAAAGTGGATGTTAGCAGCAACATTTTATAATTATCAAATAGACAAAAATTAACGCCATAGTTTCTGGGTAAGGGAAGTTTTGAGAAAAAAAACTGTACAGTAAATTTTTTCTATTTTTGACATTTTTTTTTGTTTCGGAAAAATAATGTAAAATTATTATTACTATTCATACAGACGAGAGTAAAAAAATCGAAAATCACCACCAATGATTAGTTAAATGCACAGTTGCTGTATACCTATCATTGTAGAAATACTCCGGATTAACGTTCAGATCAAGATGTATATATATATTCAGGTAAATTCGTAACTTTATACGAGGCTGCAGCATGTCACGTGCATCATAAAACTACAATACACGTACAGTAAGGGGGCGGGAGTGGTTACAAAGATGAATTGGCGCGCGTGCAAAGCAAAGATAAATTCCTAGGTACAATATCCCGGAGAGCGAGGTGGTGTAGTGCCATGGGCATATAAGAGAACAAAGCAAAGACGTACGTGGCCTGATGATGGAGGAGCCCCTTATTATATACAACCTATATATATGGGTAAAGTCCAACGTGGCGCAACGGTAGAGGGACACGTGTGTATATTTCCAAGCAACCATGTAAAAAAGTACGAGGTGGTGGTACAGCTCGTAGTCTGAATGTGGTAAAGGACGTGCTCGAGATTCACACCGACGCGGGTGATTTTTCGAGATTCCCGCAACGGACTGTTATTGATTCAGGCGTGCAGGTACGTATAGATAACGACATACCAACGCGAAGTGTCCGAGGGGGAAAAAAAAGTACTTTGCCAATCAATGACAAATCGTTCGACAAAATTTACCCGGAATTTCGAGCAAAGAGCCGAGGTACGACACTCCGAGCTACAATAACGGGTAGTGGCCTTCGATCTTTTCACACACGAGCAAAGTCACACCTACGTTATTATTATGATGTTGGCTACGTAAAAAAAAAAGCTGTTATTTTATCCAACGGAAAGAGAACAATCATTCCTTCGGAGGCAAGAGGAGGAAAAAGATAATGATAAGAGAGAGTTCGCGGATCGATGCGAGGGTGAAAAAACTCAGTGACACGACGTGCCACGTGCTTTTTGTGGGATGAATCATTTTCATCAGCTGTTCAGTGTTGCGTCATGCAGAGGCGATACACTTTGGCATCGAATTATCTTGATCCGCGGATCATGAAACTATATGAGGTGACCTTGACAGCGATATCATTGGTTTTGCGTATCATCGTATCGGAGAAATTTCTAAATTTCTTTGTTTTGCGTGTACAAGCAAGTAATATCAAGTACAGAATAATGAATAATGAGTTTTTATTGTTTTGGTAACGAGAGAAAAAAGAGAACCAAGTCGACGAACGGTAAAAATCAATTAAGATTAGGTAGTTAATGACGAATCAACACGAAAAGAGTTTAAATGCACGTGATGATTCATTGTTTTTCCGTCGATAGATAAGCAAGCTTATTTAGTGCTACAAGTGATTAAAAAGCGCTTACACGTCGTTGCACACACGGTAGAGGGGAGAGAGAAATTTCAAGATGATGTAATTTCCGTATTTCCCAAATTCGGGTTTTTGGGCTGAAAAAAAGTTTGGGCTACATATACCGATGATAAATAATTAAATTGGAAACTTAATTCGAACGATTAACGTTTCTCTCGTTGTACCAAGCGTATACACGTATTGACTCACATTTTAAAATAATCTAATAGCCTAATGATCAAAAGAAAAAAAAATTCGTTTGAGCGAATGCACTTCTTATTATATATCGGGTACAAAAAAATTGAAATGTTTTAATTTTTTGAGTAAAATTACGCGTCATAGAAATATTTGTCGTTCATAATGCACAACCATTATGATTAGTCTCATATACACGACAGGTTACCCCTCATTATCCTTCTATTTAGGATACAACTATGACTTTGTAAAGAAAAAAAAAAGTGACTAATTTTCAATTTATTCTTGATTATATGGTATGATAATGTAATGTTTTAATGACGCTATTATCTTACAGGTGTAAATTTTTTTGGAGGGATCCGACATGGCGAGAAAGAAAAAGCATTCGTGTTTCGTCCACGTAGTGTTTCTCGTCGCGCCGCTTAATATATACTTACGTGGCGAATCAAGAAATGAAAAAAAAAGGAAGAGCAAAGCACCTACGCGAATGAATTTCACGTGCATCGATGCGCGTAAGGGTGTACATATGTGTGTGCGCTCACGATAAACCGCGAGTCGTTTTATATGGCCATTTTCGTTCTCTCTTTTTTATTTTTTTACCAGCATCTTTTTGGTTGTAGAAAATCACGAATTCATCAGAATTTTCGCGAATTCACAGGTGCGGGTTAGTGGAAAACCACACGATTTGCTGAAAAAACATCGCGAGTGGGGGTGCCGACAATGAAGCTCGTAAAGACCTTTGAACGGTCGTACGCGAGTGCGTAACCTGATAGTTTGCTTAGGGACACGAAACGTACTCAATGCGACGCGAGTCACTGTAGAAAATAGGTCTGTATGCGAGTTGTACCTATGAATAAATTGCGCTAGTTTGTGTTGAAGTACAGGGACCTACTTTAGCCAATTTTTAGCATTCCCTCATTAAGTTGTGTGGCTGATGCTTTTAGAATTCCTCGAAATCATTATTTTTTTTTTTTAGAGTTTAGTTTTAGAGTAATCAAAGAATCATTTTTGATTATCAACTGAATTTGCGTTCACGACGATTCAAATTGAATGTAATTGACGTTGTTTGCTTCACTCGAACTTGTTAATATTATCTAATAATAGAGAAAAACTAAAGTTCACTGTTCACATTATTTTAAATTAAAATTTTACAGAGTTTAGGATACTTGGATGCTTAACCGACGTTTGTTAAATCTTACTGGGTTCAAGAAATGTGTGGGAAAACATGTTTAGTAAAAATGTTGATATAATTATGTAATGTATCGACTACATACCGTTGAGACCGTACTTCTCCTGGTTCCTCTTGACTTGGTCTGTCCCAAGACCTTTATCTGAATCTACATTGAAGTAGTTTAGAACTTCGTCTACTGTTTTGCAGTGGGCGTCCTCCATGTTTACTGTTGCTCCAATACTCTTTAATCACTATAATCGTTCATTCACCTAATTAATATCTGCAACAAAGACAATGAAGATCGTTGTAGTTGACATCTGTCACTGTAAGTGATCACAAAAGTAACAGTACTACAAAATTTTGATAAATAGTAGAGAAAACATATGTGTTTTAGAGAACAATAGAGAAAAAAAAAAATGAAAAATCCTATGTAAAATAGTTTATCACATGCATTCCATCCACAACACCCATTGGGGCTATTTCCGTCTGCTAAACCTAACCTGATCTCTACTTGATAAAACTCTCTCTGATTATCAGAATTACGGAAAGAACACGTATTACGATCAAAACAAAATAAGTAAACGATAAGAACCTCCCGCATTCACAAGAAGGCCACATCATTTATAAAACTCGTGTGATAATAACATCCATATCAATCGACACCTCTAGTTTTCATGTATTTATGCTTTGACAATAAACGAATCCGACATTAAAATGATCATTAGCATCAACTGCACACCAGGTATACATAACGTAAGCAGGTAAACTTGGTAACAAAAAAAAGTAAATCTCTTAATCTCCAGGGCCATCTCAGGCTTTATTACTCAGCACTTTAAAACAATGCAGACAGCGTATACGTGTTACTAGGGCACTTTGTTGTGTGCACTCCACACACGGGACACTATCACTCTCGTTTTTCTGCAAAAAGAGTACATTTACTTCAGCAGTAACCAATCGCACTCGATAAACACGTTGAGGCTCTTTTTTTTTCAGTCTTTTTTACTTTGCATCAATTGAACTATGCCGAAGTTGTACAAGTGCGCAGAAGTGCATAAAGAAATCGTTTTGTCTAGGTATACCGACAACAACTGTAAGTAGGTATACACACGTATATTTACAGCACAAGGGGGGCTCCGACTCGCACGTATAACTTATATATGATGTAGCTGTGCGGTCAACAAAGAAGAAAGGCAAAACCACCCACAAAGAACCCCCAAATAAAAAGGGGAAAATAACTTGTTCTAGGCCTAAATGACACAAATGCGTCGGCTGCTATTCTTAATCTTGAAAAATATCGTCAGGTTATCTAAAAAACTTGACACGGAAATGTACAAGAGAATCTATAACTTTGAGCAATAAACCTTAAATGTATTTTTTTATTTGAACCGTCGAGTTTCCCAAACGCAAGCTCTTTGTACTTGCAGAGTGCGCTATTATAACGACCTTTAAATCATCCAAAAGCGGGGAAGAAAACGTATGTATGGTGCGAGATTAAAAGCTAGGGAGCCAGAAACCCTCTGATGCTTTTTTAACAACGTGGCGCACGCGAGCAACTCTGAAACTTGGAATTTTTTCACCTCTTCTTTTTTACGATAATCATGATCAATGACAGTTGAGGCCCTAGGTTTTTTTTTCTGTTTTTTTTTTCTTTAGGTGTAGTAACACTTATGCAAGGGAGAAACTGTATAAACGTCAGTCAAAGCAGAAGTGCAGAGACCGCGCGAGAGACAAGGACGCGCGTCGAGTCCTTTCGCTGCAGCATCAGCTCTTTCGGAGTCATCAGAGCTGACGGCTGCTGCAGCTGCATGGATCTTTGAGAGGTTAGGACGCACATTTAGACACGACCAGCCACCGCTCTTTTTTTTCTGCACAGAAATACGATATCGAGGAGAGTTAAATGCGATGCACTTTTTCAACACACCCACACTTACTTGCACACTTGAAGATGAAATGAATAATACTAGATAAATAACAAATGATGGTGATTAATACACATCGGCTGCGTACCTGCTCTGCGCGTGTACGCTATCCGAGCATGTACACGTATTATTCTGTGTGCTATATATATGTGTGCTTGTATATAGATATACAACTATATATACAGTCTGTTTTTCTCTCGACGAGTTTCCAACACACAAAAATATACTTGAGTACTTTTTCACTTTGAAAAAAAAAAGAAAAAAAAGAGAAACAGAGCCTTGACTTGTTTCACACAACAAGTCAACTCTATAAGACTAATTGGTCGTCCTGCTTTCGCCTTATTATCACATATGCACACAGTGTTCCGTTAATTACTTTTTTTTTTTACCGTATCCTCATTTTTCATGAAAGATGGTAAGAGTATCATCCGAGGCTCGCTGTCATGCCGCGTATACTTGCCGCTTACAGGTACCGCACACCTTTAAGTATATATTTACTTTTTAAACACACCAACGCCAAGAAATCGATCAACACGTACACACACACACACACACACACGGCGTCTGCAGCTTATTTTTTTTTGTCGTGTATTTAAGTGTATTTTGTTTATGAATACCGTACAGATTGACAACGAGCAACGAACCACGACAGAGCAAGAGGAGGAGACCAACTACTGCAACCGACGACGCCTTAAAACGAACAGACGACACACACCCACCCACCAAAGCCTCCTCTTTCTTCCCCTTCGCGAGCTGAACTACTCTGCAGCGGACGACGGCGATATGGCGACGACGATGACGTCGACTCTTCGAAGGAACCCTGGTGGATCAGAGATAATATCAGTCGAACCGCGACCAAATGCCAACCGCCCAAGCGCCATCGGCCGGTTGACTCGAGCGTTCGCGCGCGAGCTTTTCGCTGTCATTGTTATCACGATCATCGTAGCTAAGCGTGTGTTATCGCTGCACACGCGTCTCTATTATCTATACGCCTATTATCTCGACATGACTACAATTATCGTCGAGTGAAGGTGTTTTAGAAAAAAAAAAAAAAAAAAAGAGCTTGCGCAATTCAAATTTCCCGGCACAGCAAAGCTGCCGTGGGAGAGAGGCGCGCGCGGGATCATGTGGAACCACGCGATTGGTCGCCCGCCAGCGGAGGGTTATATCCCTTCCACCCGCGTTTTCTGAAACGCGCGAGAGGGGAGGTGGTGAGTGTATATATAAATATATATGTATATACACAACGCACAATATTTTCATATATCTTTTTTGCGCGCAGCATCACTATACTGAGAGCTTTTGCTCTATGCTCGCCCAAAATCTCTCGCGCGCGTGTGTCCGTGCGTACGCATATAGGTATAGATAGATAGAGCGCGCTGATGATGATGATATTTTATTTTAAGGCTTCTGCTAGGCTAGGCTATTTCCTTGGCGCGTATTTTAAGACGCTTTTGAAAAGGACAAGCGGGCGCATTGTCGGGCTTACGTAACGGCCTCGCTCGCGGATCTGTGCGGGCGCGCGTGTGTAAGTGTGATTTTTGGTTTATTAGCGTGTGTGTCGTACATGTGGCATCCCGGGATCTCTCATCTGTTTGATTGGTTTTTTCCATGTAAGCTGTCCTTTCATACAGTTGCAGATTTCCACCCCCCCCCCTTCCTACGAGGTGTTTATCGATCATCCGGTTGACGCGTACGCAAAAATTTGGAGAAAAAAAATAATGCCTCTTTCGTAAATCCCCGCACTTATGAGCACCGATTTTTCTTCGTTTCCACAACCTTTGCTGGAGTTTGAAATATAAAAGAGAGATACGCATTTATAACTAGTAGCTCGAGAAAAAAAAGAAATTTCGCTCCAACGTTCCGCCGAGACGGGTGCACTTACATACGCGCACGGCTAGAAAATAGAAAGTCCCGAGCTTTACGTAATACACCGAAAAGTTCGCACGAGCGCCGAGTTGGTTGGCCGAATTTATACTTTTGCGAGTACACACATATACATGTATAAACTCTGCGTCGAGCTATATGCCACTGGGATTACTAGTTTTTTTTTTTTTTTTTGGTCTCTTTCTTCCACAAATAATTTGTCGATCGCGGTGGTAAATCATCCCCGTGAGTCGCGCTAGCGGGTACGTGCAATAGAGCTAAACTGGGGCGTTCAAGGCTTTTGGCGGAACGTACACAGGTTGTGTTATACCTGCGTGCAGCCCGTGTGTTTCAATTTTGCAAACACCCTCTCTCTCTCTCTATCTATCTCTCTTTGGTCTCGCCGCTCTTTATTATTTTTAGCAGGTATTTTCAGTATGTGGAACGTAGTTTGGCAATTTCTTTAAAAACCTTTAGAGCCAGCTAGATAGAGACATAGAGAGGGGTTTGCCCAGCTTTGGCTTTGGACAAAACTAATATAACTTTTAGCAAACTATTTCCACGCGTGAAAATATTCTTCTCTATTTATAGGCGTCTTAATGATGTTTCGTGGAAAAATACATACCCACTCCACGCTAACGGGGGTGGGGGTTACTTAACGCGAATTACCCTCGATTTATTCCTCTCCTTCATTTTTAATAAACAAAATTACACGCTTCCCCCCATCACGAGCTCGGCACTTTTTTTTTTTTTTTTTTTTTTCCCTTAATCTCCGTCAGTGGCCGTTTTTTTTTTTTTTTTTTTTGAGACCATCAGCTACCTTCTCTCTTCGTTTATAACTATTGCGGACGATCAACCAAGTATTTTGGCATGCGAAATTGACAACGAGTGCACTTGTACACACACACACACACACACACACACACACCTATGGTAACTAAACGGGAGTGCAGATGGTGTTTTGCCACCGGTGACACAATAAGTAACGCGAATCAGTTGTGGGGTTGTCTATTTTTTTTTTTCCCCCCATCATCCGCATTTCCGAGACGACGACCGATCGTCCTTAAACTTGACGAGCGCGCGTTGCCTCCGCCAACTCCCCCAAGGTCGCGGGGTCACTTTGAAACCTCAGCTCGTCCCTCTCTCTCCCTCCCTCCCTCCCTCCGCCGAAATAAAACGAAAAAAAAAGATCGGTAATCGGTAATGTACAGCGGGTGATGTACAGCGTGTAGAAGGACTTACATAACGGTAAAGCACGACGGCGCAGCCGGTCCGGTGTGTGTAGCTTCACGCGTCGAGGTTCGGGAAGAAGACGACGTCCGGAGCCGGGAGCGATTGCCGGGAGTCTCGGCTTCCTGTCGCCCGACAGCAAAGCCGCATCACCTCGGCCACGGAACTCTAACAAATCCCCTCCTTGTCCTTTCTTTAAGTCCTTC